ATTATGCAGTCAAATTTTTACACCAACTGCAAATACTGAGACCTTGATTTTGAGTTGTTTATACGAACAATTTACCAGTAGACATATAAGAAATTTTCAAACAAAGGTCAAGATCTTTGAACACCAACAGCGTTACTGTTGAAGAACCATCAAAAGTGCTTTCTGACTGCTAATGAAAAACTTTAAATGATTTTCCATCTACAATTATTCAACAATCATTGTTGCAGAAAAACTTTATTTTTAATTGTTAAAGAATATTTCTTCAGATTTGGGAAGAACCAATTGATGTTAAATTTATTGAATGGCCAATGAGGGGAGCAGAGATCGAAGTAAGTTTTGCCACCCACTACCATGGCGATCCGTATCCATTCGACGGCACTGGTACAGAAATTGCACATGCATTTTACCCGAATCATAGAAAACGAAGAGGACAAATTCACATCGATGATCATGAACCATGGTGCGGTTTTTTTTTTATAAATAAGTCTTGACATCATTTGAATGAGAGTTTAAAGTTAATAAAGCTGGTAACGAGCAAGTTTGCAGGGGACCCAAAGGAAGAAACTTGAATTGGGTGTTAGCCCATGAAGTTGGTCATGTTTTAGGACTTCCTCATAGTCCGCACGAGTCGTTAATGATGGTCAACTATCGTGGTTTTGAACAAGCTCAACCAAGACTCTTTTCAGATGACATAAAAAACATTCAAAAGCTTTACGGTAGAACAGTTTAAAGTTTATTCAAATTTTCATTATTTTTAAATTGATGATGTGACATCATAAAATGCTCTGTTTTACTGCTGATCCCTTTTTTATATTTTAAAACTTGTATTTTTAGGAGCTCGACAAGGTTTTGTAGAGGGTTTGATGTTGAACGAAGATGACAAAAAGAATCCAACACAGATTTCTTTATGTGATGGCGAACCTTACAATACAATCTTTACGACTCCAAATGAAACTGTTTATGTGGCAAAAGGTAATAAATGGTGAAAAAGAAAATTTGCTATTTTGTAGTATAAAATTTTACAAACACTGATTAATCTTTTTGTAACATTTTTTATTCTTTTTTTTTTACTTAAGTTTCCTTCCTGTAATGTTGCAATTTTGTTGTCTTTTTATAATTCGTAATTCGATGGTGTAATTTAGGCGAACATTTCTGGAGAATCGAATCACCGCTGGAAAATCGTACAATAACAGGTCCGTTCAAAATTGTCGACTACTGGGGTAACGTCGGTACCCCAATTGATGCAGCATTTTCTGATCATTTTGATTGGACATGGATTGTCAAAGTTAGTGCTTCAAGTTTTCCATTTTGGTAGTTTTAAGGCTCAATTTTGACATTAGTAGTTTGAGTAGACAAGAAAAAAAGATCACAGTTTTGTAGAACACTTATGCTTAATTTTCTTTTAACTAAAAAAAGCTTTTTTTTTTAACCAAAAAATAAATAAGGAAAGTTTGCATAATACCGATTTGATTGGAAGCATCTGTTTCTGGTACTTCAGGGCGATGATGCATGGCGATTTGATGCATCCTCGGATACTCTACGTTATTTCCCAAAAGAGAATCTGCACGAAATTGTACCATTTACAAACTATCGTTATAATTCTGTTGATGCTGTACTAAGCATCAACTCCGATTCAGATATGCAGTCAACATTTCTGTTTCTTGGTTGGTAATTGTCCTATCATTTTACTGAACTGAAATTGTTTAATTTTTTACACGAAGCTGACAACCAAAAGAAAGAAAAGTAATAGTTGAAGAAAGAGGAAACTCTTTTTTTCTATTCTTTTAAGTCTGAAATAGGTTTTTTTTTCTTGCGAATTAGTAGAAGACAAAAAACTGTGAAAATAAAAATAAGGAAATAGTTGCGAAAAAAAAAAAGCAGTGTTTTTAATTTGTCAGATAATTCAGTTCACTGCTACAGCAGTTTAATTCCGATGTATTCTAATTGAATTTCATTTCTTTTTTTGTTCACTGTATTAAAATCTAAAAGAAAAAGAAAAAAGTGAACTGTTGCATAAATCATAATTCAAAAATATTATAAAACATTTATTTCCCTTTCCTTTTTCCTAACAGTTATTATTTATTTGTTGCTTTTTTTATTTGATACGATTAGGAATTTTATTTTTTTTCGGGTTTCTGTTATTGTTTTTGTTGTTTTGTCAGCTGCTAATATGATGCAAAAAAAAAAAAAACTTAATTTGTGTAGGAAGGAAAAAAAACATTTTAAAATGCAAAAAAAAAAAGCCTTTAATATTATTATTTTCTCTTTTTTT